ACACCATTACTGATGGACTCATATAAGTTGGCCAGAATTAATTCGGCCAAGCAAAGAGGGTATTTGTGATGGAGCTGTGTTGCAAGCGTTAGCATCTTTTTCGTCACCTGCAGTGATTTAGTGCAGAAAACGAATCGAGACAGCCACATGGCCAAGAAGGCTATGTGCTCCACCTCCCACACATTATTTGAAGCCTTGTCATGAAAGTGGTTTATGAAGGTGGTATAAGTGGGTTTGGTAGCAGCAAACCCAATGGGATCCTCAGACAAGTCTTCAGGGTCGAAATAGTCACCAGTGGGTCGAAGACCAGTAATGGCAGCTATGTCGAACAAGGTAGGGGTCACCATCCCACAAGGAAGATGAAAGGTGAAATATGCACTGTCCCAAAAGTACAATGAGGATACCAGCATAAGGGGGCAATAAGGTAACCCTGTCTTCGACAACATCACTAAGTCATAGATGCCCATCTCCTTCCAGATAGAAGCTTGCACCCTCTCCATTTTATTCAACCAGTCGGAGTATTCAGAAGAAAGGTTAGGGCTTGATCTAAAGATGTGATTCCCTTTATTCATGAACTGGAGGTTGATATCATCAGTAGTTTGAGGATGTTGTTGGTTAGCCGGTGTAGCATCTTCAGCATCTGCCCTAGGTTTTTTGGCACAACCTATGGGTTTAAGCCTTGGATGTGTAGGGAAAAAGGAACGGTTTTTTAAGGGATTTTCGGCACATGAAGATAATGGGATGGACATAGCATACATCTTTCTGCCACATCTGACGGGAATAAGGAGTTGAGAATCATAGGCTTCTCGCCCTTCTCCCATAGGTTCAACAATGTACCTGTTAGTCGAGGAAGAAGGAGGGTTGATAGAAAAAATCTCTGGTGGTTTTTGAACATCATTAGCATTCTTTGGTTGTGGATTGTTTGGGGCATTAGAGAGAAAGGCCATTGTTAAAGACTTAAGAAAAAGAGCGAAGGTGACAATACAGTGTTGTGAGAATGCAAGGGGTTTGGAAAAGCTGAGGAGGATAAAAGTTCTAAATAGAGAAGTTTGGAAGTATTTATAGCCTTCAGAAGTGGGAAATGTCTCGTCAAAAGCATTTAATGTTTTGCAGGTAGTGGGGTACGTGGCAAGGCAGGAAACGATTACCGTGCAGGCGTTGGGAAACGTTGGGACATGCTTGCCTAGATTATAGGAACGAGGCCATCATGGCGAGCGTGGTAACGACAGTTTTGAAGAGACATTTTGGAAAAAAGTAATGATGGTTTTATCAAATATAGCAGTTGTTGGAAGGCGAAAGGTACACGTCAAAGCCTGGTGGACAACTGGTAAGACAGGTGTCGAATGGGAAGTTCAAAGAATGGCTATTTCTTTGGGCGTCGAAATAGACATTCTTGGGGGGCAATTTGTTGGCTCCCAAATTCGACACTTGCTATATTTGGTCTCTTTGACCAAACAACTGGAAATGAACTACACCAGGAGGTGTAATTCGACGCATGAGATAAATTAAGGAAAAGGATCCAAGATATAATAAGAAAGCTTCGACCAAAGGTTCATTCGACTGAGGAAGATGTAGGTTGTTTCGACTGAAGGGAAGTGTTCGCGCCTTGGCACATGGGACGAAGACCATTTTGAAATTTGAATTATTGGAGGGAAAGGTGGTTTTCATCAGCGTCTAAGGGAAGGAAACGTGGCAAAAGGCTATGGGTCGAGAGGCATGCAGGAGACACTTGTCTTCATCCTAGTGCAGAATGTCCCCTCGACGGTTACCTATTTTTAGTATAAATTAAGAAGTTTGTGTAATTTTTAGTGTGTTCAACTTATAGTACTAAATCTCTCAAATATTATCCAAGTAACTACTGCGTGAGAAAGGATAAAAAGCAGAGCAATGTACGTTAGAAACACCTTTTTTACTTAATAAAAGTCTTTTTACTTTACTTTACCATTATCTTGCAAAGTTACCTTTTACTTCTTTTACTTCTTTTACTTGCATTTTTATGCTTTCATTTACTGTTCAACAATCTTAAACATCTCTCCCCTGGATCGAACGTGCGTTCTTCCTTCTCACTCATTTTACATAAAAATTAGCATATGTTTTGGGATTAGTTTGATCGATCCCGCAAGTAAACCAAAAAACCTACCTTTTTGGAGACCAGCGATTGTTTACCAAAAACAACGGTAAACAGAGGGATTATTTTGCAAACAAAGAAGCAGGTAGCCTAGTGGTTAGGAGTGTTGAAGTTGGTATTTGTGTTGTTGGAATTTGTTTGAAGTTCAATATTGCTTAGGTTCCTGGGCTATTGATTGTATAAATATGTGAGGGCAACCTCACCCTGTGAGCTAGCTTTTGAGGGATGAGATCCAAACATATTTAACTTGGTATCAAAGCCGAGTTAAGGACTGTAATATGGGCGTTTGGCCCAGGTCAATGCTAGGCGTGTGAGTGGATGTTGAAGTTGATATTTATGTTGTTGGAGTTTGTTTGAAGTCCCACATTATTAAAATTCTTAGACTGTTGAGTGTATAAATATATGAGAGCAATCTCACTCTTTAAACTACCTTTTAGAGTTGAGATCCAAATATATTTAATAGAAAATTGTAAGTCGTAGAGAACAATCTTGGGTTCACCACCCATTAAAGCCAAATTTTTTGTGTTTTTCATATTTTAATATCCTAAAGCCAAAAAAAAAAAAGGTAAGAATACAACATGAAATTAAATATAGTAAAAAATAAAACAAAAATTCAAAACCTCGTCAAAAAACAATAAAAAATAGGTCACTTAAAAAATTTAGGTGATTAGGTTTCAAAAGGGACAAAATATCTATTAACTATAGTTTTTAAAAGTAAGATTACAAAACATATTTTCTTTTTTTTCTTCAAAATTATTTTTTTAAATTGATTTACAAAATAGTTTTTAAACGTTAAAAACTAAATCTCACTTGCATAAAAGTTTGGTTTGTAGAATTGGAAACAAAATAGAGTAAATTTTACAAAGATAAAAACTGATTAACCCTTTTTGAATTCTTTATTTTTCATTATTTGGTAATTATGTCCATTCTCTTAAATTGTTTATATAGTACAACGATAAATTAACAAATTAGTTCTGACAAATTTCTTGCTTCATAACGCTCTCTTTTAATTACAACTTCTTAATATTTTAGATGAGTTCATAATCACAATAGGTTTTCTAAAACATTAACTTATATTATCACAATCGAATACTTTAACACATCTAAAGTAATTATTTGACTAAACAGTTAAAATAGATTGAATTTCGAAAGTCGCGGTTAATAATACTATGATTGCTACTTGAAATTAGTTAGTAATCAATTTCTACTTGAAATCAATTCATATATTCGACAACATATAAAAGACTTTAAATACAAATTTAATTAAATAATACTATGATTGAAATTTCATTCAATTGCATTCAATAATTACTTGAATCAAATAGTTCAAAATAAATTCATCTAAGATCTAATCAATACAAATTGAAGTACTCGTGGTGTAACACAACCAATGAGATTAAGAAGTAATATATAAACTACAAATGAAATTTGAACTTTAATTGTGTAGAAACATAAAATAAAAACATTGTCTTTAACCTTGCAGTTGCCTATAGAACTCTCAAAATCGGAACCTTATTTAAAATTGTCTTTTTGTATTTATAATAGGCTTCTAACGCGTCTAATTGTGTCACTATATTTCTCAATCGCATCGCAATTGATCCATTTGTCTATTTGTCAACACGTCATTAAATTTTAAATCGTGCCACGATCCGATCAGACTGCTCCATGACTTTTCCAAAATTGATTTTCTCTTTTCTTTTTTTTTTTTTACTTTTAAATTCTTCTTTTATCAACTTTCTCCCATTTCCCAGACAAATTCATCTTTAAACCATACAATTTCATACCAAATATTATTACATAAATTCTAAAAATATCTAAAATTCTAATATGACATATTGTCACCACTTATTCAACAATATATACTCTCTATAAAATTAATATTAAAAGTAGATAAAAGTTTTAAGACTCTTGCTTATTTATATTTTATTTTAGAGAAAATATCGCACAAGAAAATTGATGTGAAACATTTATAATCATCCTATTATAATCATCAATAAAATTTCTTATATAATTATTTAAAAAAATATATTAAAAATATAAAATTTTCTTCAACACATTGATTTTTTTAATAAGTCATCTAATGAGTTTAAATCTTTATTTCTTCTGACCAATTTTATAAACAAATATTATTTTTTTCAAATTCAATGGATAACTAATGCATTTGATTAATATTTGAAGTCAAATACATTAAATATTGGATAATTCAAAAATAGAATTTTTTATTTATAATAATAACGAAATTGATATTTGAATTCAAATATATTAAATATTCAACAATTTAAAAATAGAATATTCATTTATAATAATAACAAAAGGAGTATTAATTAATGTTAATAATTATAAATTGATAAACATTCATTTCTTTTTTGCCTTTAATTATGGTAATTTTCTCCTTTTATTTTCATAATAATCTTGTTTTGTGGAAAAGGATGGAATATACATATATTTTGCTTACATTATTTTCATAATAATCTTGTTTTGTGGAAAAGAATGGAATATACATATATTTTGCTTACATAGCATATCGGCCGTTAAAGTAAAAGGATTTTTTATATGTAAAAGAATGGAATAATAAGTAACATATTTGTGTTCCTACGGGTTCTATTAATTTGATATAATATAAAATATATTTAAATATATATTTAAATTTAAAATGAGTTATTTAATTATAAAATGAATAATAATTATATAAACTCAATTGTATTAAATATGTATTGTGTTGATAGAAATTCGTGAGATGAAAAATTAATTATTTATGTGATTATAGAGTGTTATCTAATTTGATACTATATAAAATATACATAGATACATATGTAAATTTAAAATAAGTTATTTAATTGTAAAATGAATAATAATTTTATAAACTCAATCAATGTTGATTAAAAATAAATTGGATATTGTGTTGATAGTGATTCTTAAGTTGAAACGTTAGCTGTCTGTACGTCTATAGAGTATTATGTAATTTGATACGATGTAAAATGTATTTAATTATATATGTAAATTTAAAATGAATTACTTAATCGTAAAATGAACATCATATAAATTCAATTGAATTAAATAATCGTACAAAAAAAAAACTCTTGAGATGGAGAAAGAAAAAAAGAAAGCTTTAACATATGAAAATAAAAATTTTATCTTTTAAATAAAGTTAATTATTGATTAAAATAAAATAGATATTGTTCTAATAAGTGATACGTGAGAAAGTTGAAAAAATAAAAAAATAAGTAAATATAATAGGCACATGTGTCATGTTGTGATTGATTTAGAAAAAGAATAATTAACCAATTATCTAATTATTGAATAATATTTAGATGTATGTGCAAATTTAGAAAAATAATTTTGTGTCTCAAAGAAAGTCATATTAATAATAATAAAATAAATATTTTACTGATAGTGACTAGTTAGAAAAAGAAAATTTTTGACATTTAAAAATAAATTTTTTGTATCTCAAATAAAAACAATTAATCATTAAAATAAATAGATATTGTATTGATATTGATTCGTGAGAAAAAAAAATTTTAACGTTTGAAAATAAAAATATTTTGTTTCAAACAATGACAATTATTAATTAAAATAAAATAGATAATTTTTTTGATAATTGTCCATAAATCAAAAAGTTAATTGTATGCATAATCATTGAGTATTACTCAATTTAATAACATAAATTTTTAATTTTATTAAAATTTAAAAATAGGTTAGTTAATACTTTTTAGTAAAATAATTAAATAAATTAATTAAATATGTAGTAAAAAAACTAAGTGTCAATATTGTATACATTTATATCCAATAAATATTTAATATAATAATGATATGTTATAATTATACATATTAATATATTACAAATAATTTTTAATATAGATGAAAAGTATAAATTATTAACTATAAGAAGATAAAATAATGAAATGAAAAGAAAAATATATATAAAAGAGAAAGAAATATAATTATTTAAAAAATATATATTAAAAATATAAGAGTTTCTTCTTTAACACTAGTATAAACACATTGATTTGCTTTATAAGTCATTTGTTTTATAAGTCATCTAATGATTTTAAATCTTTATTTCTTCTAACCACTTTTATAAATAATTTTTTTTTCCAAATTCATTGTATAATTAATGCATTTGATTAATATTTGAAGTCAATATATTAAATATTAGATAATTCAAAAATAGAATAATTTTTATAATAATAACAACATTGATATTGAATTCAAATATATTAAATATTCAATAATTTTAAAATAGAATATTCTTTTATAATAATAACAAAAGGAGTATTAATTAACGGTAATAGTTATAAATTGATAAACATTCACTTGTTTTTTGCCTTTAATTATAGTAATTAATAGTAATTTCCTCCTTTTATTATAATAATCTTGTTTTGTAAAAAAAGAATGGAATATACATATATTTTGCTTACATAAGTAAAAGGGTTTTATATGTAAAAGAATGGAATAAAGACAAACCCTCAATTTCTTATCCTTTGCTTTATTCACTCTCTCTTACTCATTTCATCGAACAATTCAAATGCACTCAATCTTTTCTATTTTTTCTCACCATTTCCCACTTACTTTCTTCACCTAACCTTGCCACTCTTCAACCAAATTCATATTATAGCACACTATTTCCAACAACATCTTCTGCATCGATTCAAACATACCAAGATTCAGTTTTTTTCTTTTTCTAGATTTTTATATTTTCAAGTAATTCTTTGCCTCTGTGATGACCCTTTTATTTGTTGATGGTTTTTGTTACCATGCATGTAGATTCTGTCTTGAATCATGAAATGGGTTGTTGAGATATTTGAACTTTTTCTACCTTTGATTTGATCGCATTGTATCCTCTTATAAAAAATGTTTTTTTGTTCAATCTGTTGAGTTTATGACTCTGAGATTCTTGTGTTATTGGAATTTATTTTCAGGTTTGGATATATTTATTGGAAGGAATTAATTGGTGTCATGGATCAGGTAACAAGCAAGGGTAGTGGTGAAATGTTGGATCATGTTGAGAAAGGGGTTAATGAGAGTTTGAGTCATTTAGTTGAAGGAGTTGCAACTGATGCAGGAGCTGGACATAGCTTGGGTGGTAGGGTTAGTTCATGCGGTGAAGATCGGAATTCAGAAGAGTTGTGCAATGATCTTGGGCTGAATGAGGAGCTAAATGAGAGACCTTTAGAAGTTAAGGATCGGAATCCAAACTTTGGTGGTGATCCTGGAAAAATCAACGATGGATTGCACGGGGTTGATCAAGGGACTAGTTATAATTCACGTGATTTGGTTAATGGAGAAGCACTTGAGACCCGTGTTGTAATAGATTCTTCCACTCAGGTTGAGTCTGGCGATGGTGATAGCAGAAAATTAGAAGCTAAAACTAATGAATCAAGGTTGAACAAGCTATCAATTAAAGCGACGAAAGGTGTGTCTGAGACTGATAAAAATTCGTGTGTGATTGATGTGAATTGTGGCAGCGGCAAAGATTTTAGTGAGAATTTGGATGGGGAAACGATTTGTAGGATTTGCCATCTTGCATCTGGGCAACCATTAGAAGAAACTGCTGTTGGAACTCCAAATAGTGCTGATGATAAAACAGGTTTGATTATGCTTGGTTGTGCATGTAAATCTGAGCTAGGAATTGCACACAGTCATTGCGCTGAGGCATGGTTCAAGATTAAAGGAAACAGGTGGCAACTTTTACCTTTCTTACCATCTGTTTATTTCTAGTTCATGATGTTGTGTGCTTTTATACTTGGAATTCACAATGCCATTGTTTTGTTGTAAACAAAAATAAGGTGATAATTGCGGTGAAATCGATCACGGCTTATATCTTAATTTGTCTTTAATGTTTATGCTATATTTTTGGCTGAATAATCTTGAGATTCCTTAGTTCTTTTAGCATCTTCATGTATCATATCTGATCACACAGGTTGTGCGAAATATGTGGTGAGACTGCAAAGAATGTTCCCGATGTTATTAATAATGGATTTATGGAAGAATGGTGTGAAAGTGGATTCATCGACAGTGGCAGCACTAGCAACTCACCCCGTGGATTGGTTGGATGCTGGCGCGGGCAACCATTCTGCAACTTCTTGATGGCGTGCCTTGTAATAGGTTTTGTTCTACCATGGTTCTTTCGTGTAAAAATGTTCTAGCGTTGGATTCAAAAACTATTCTTCCCTGTCTATATGATGAGTACATCAATGATTTGTGGCACATATTTATTGAAAGAGGTCGCATTGCCTAAATAACCACGTGCAAGGAAGGTAGCAGGCTTGGCAAGCTATGGCAAGATTGCTTTCTTAATGAAGAATTCTTTGGATTGGAGTGCTTACTATGTTCTGAATTTAGATTGATTTAGGGAGAAGAGAAAATAAGATATTTTGCTTGTAACATGATGGATGTTGTATAGATACAATATATAATTTGCTGTAAAACAAGCAAACAGAAAGAATTTCTATCTTCTTTCTTTTTTATCTCTTTAATTTGGTTGACTTGCCAGCTAAAAATTTCAAGAAGAATCTACCAATGTCATATGGTTGTCATCGATGTTTATATTTCCTCCTTTTTTTTTTTGTTTAATTATTTCATCTTATAAGTTAGAGACAAAATAAATAGTGATTCAATTTTAGTGCGATCGGGATAATATTTTGAGACTTTATTTAATTACTACAAAAGTTAGTGACCAAATAAATAGTGATTCAATTTAAGTGCAATTTAATCATGATAATATTTTGAAACTTTATTTAATTACAATTTAAGAGTGACAAATTTTTAACTTTATACAATAGTTTGTCTTAAACGTCTTTAAAGACAAATTTAGCTTTACTAAAAACAACCTACAAAGTTAATGGCAAGAGGAATGTTATTTAAACACCTATTTATTTGACAAGAGGTACATTACTTGAACACTTATGTATTTGACACCGTATATGACAATGTTTATTTAAAACCGGATATGAAAGGAGAAATTAATATTTTTATTTCAATTATTCTTTGATATCATATATTTATGTGATTCTATAAATACATCAATATAAAAAAGAGTTATTTTTTGTGTTTAACAGTCTGTCTATCTTAAAAATGACTCAGCGAAAGGTAGAGTCCAACGACTGAAAGAGTATCGCACGTTATTAGGATCGAATATGAAAGACACTCGGTCTTCTGTATTTTCAAGATCCACCAGGGGCGTATTGGACACCGCATATGATTTCTCCCAAAATGGGTGTCCAAATATAATTTTCCTAATTGCAATTCAAAACATAATAAAGAATTAAACCACCAATGGTTAAGGTCATACCTAAACAGAGTCTTGTTCTCCCATCTAGTGCATATATGATGATAAGCATGAATAAGAAAATGATCCACAAGGAGCTCTTTATCCCCATGATTACACAAGAAACTAATATTCTCTCTTGTTCCAAATGCTAAATAATGTTTTCTTTCACATCAGAAGCTTATTTTTGTGCCAAGCCAAATGAAAGAATCAACACGTGTACCGTGCCTTTTGATAGCCCTAGCTTTTAGAACAACAACTCACTAAATATTACATGTAAAAAAGATCCCAAGCATGATTTAACATGGCAGCAAAATTGATTCCTCACAAAAAAAAAAACTGTCCCATTTCTTTAATCAAAATATAAAATATTAATGACTGAAACAAGATCCGTTGTAGTCTAGTTGGTTAGGATACTCGGCTCTCACCCGAGAGACCCGGGTTCAAGTCCCGGCAACGGAATTTTGTTTTTCTTTTCATATATTTATTTATTTTCGAGTAACAACGTTGTTGTCCCTGTTCTGGAGAGAAGAGAAAGCAGAAGAGACCAATGTCAAGTGTTTTGAAAACCAGACCAAACTCAACCACCTCTCCACTTTCTCATAACCTTAAAAACAACTCTAATTATGTCAAATCTCGTAACCGTTTCATCTTCTTCAAACAACCTCGGAGAACATGTCTTCTATATTCCAAACTCGATTTTTATTCTCGTACCACTGTCACTCACAACGTAACCCAAAACCAAAACGCCAAAATTTGCAACTTCTGTCAAATGGGTAATCTCACAAACGCCATGGAATTACTCACAACGTCACAAAGACATGAACTTGGGGGGAGTACTTATTGTTCCGTTTTGCAGCTTTGTGCTGAGAAGAAATCTCTGGAAGATGGAAAAAGGGTTCATTCTGTTATCATTTCGAATGGTGTGGTGATTGATGAAGCTTTAGGGGCTAAACTAGTTTTCATGTATGTGAATTGCGGTGATTTGGTTAATGGGAGAAGGATATTTTATGGGATTCTTAATGATAAGGTTTTTCTTTGGAATCTTATGATGTCTGAATATGCAAAGATTGGTGATTATAGGGAAAGTTTGAGTCTTTTTAAGAAAATGCAGAAGATGGGAGTTTTGGGGGATTCTTATACGTTTACTTGTGTGTTGAAGTGTTTTGCTGCATTGGGGAAGGTTAAGGAATGTAAAAGGGTTCATGGGTATATTTTGAAACTTGGGTTTGGTTCTAATACTGCTGTTGTTAACTCGACGATTGCAGCTTATTTTAAATTCGGTGAAGTTGAGAGTGCGCGTAATCTGTTTGATGAATTGGTTGATAGAGATGTGGTTTCATGGAATTCTATGATAAATGGCTGTGTTGTGAATGGTTCTTCCAGAAATGGGATTGAGATTTTCATTCAGATGTTGGTTATGGGGGTTAATTGGGATTTGACTACATTGGTTAGTGTTCTTGTGGCTTGTGCAAATATTGGCAACCTTTCACTTGGTAGAGCTCTTCATGGTTTTGGAGTGAAAGCTTGTTTAGGTGAGGAGGTTGTGTTTAGCAATACCTTACTAGATATGTATTCAAAATGTGGTAATTTGAATGGTGCAACTGAAGTTTTTGTGAAGATGGGCGAAACAACTATTGTTTCTTGGACTTCAATCATTGCTGCTTATGTACGAGAAGGTCTATACGATGATGCTATTGGATTATTCGATGAAATGCAAAGCAAGGGTGTTAGGCCTGATATCTATACTGTCGCGAGCATTGTTCATGCTTGTGCTTGTAGCAACGCTTTGGATAAAGGAAGGGAAGTACACGGTTACGTTATAAAGAATGGCATGGGATCAAATTTGCCTGTCGCTAATGCTCTCGTGAACATGTATGCAAAATGTGGAAATGTGGAAGAAGCTCGGTTAGTTTTCTCTCAAATTCTAGCTAAGGACATTGTTTCGTGGAATACAATAATTGGAGGTTATTCGCAAAATTCACTTCCCAGTGAAGCTCTAGAACTTTTTTCGGACATGCAAAAACAGTTAAAGCCGGACGACATTACAATGGCTTGTGTCCTTCCAGCTTGTGCAGGCTTAGCAGCTCTCGACAAAGGAAGAGAGATACATGGATACATATTAAGAAGAGGGTACTTCTCTGATTTGCATGTAGCTTGTGCACTTGTTGATATGTATGCCAAATGTGGGTTACTTGGTCTAGCACGGTTACTCTTTGATATGATTCCTCAAAAGGATCTGATTTCTTGGACTGCTATGATAGCTGGATACGGCATGCATGGATTTGGGAATGAGGCAATTTCCACATTCAAGAAGATGAGGATTGCAGGTATTGAGCCTGACGAGTCCTCTTTTGCCGCCATACTTAATGCTTGCAGTCATTCTGGATTACTGCACGAGGGTTGGAGATTCTTTAACTTTATGAGAAATGAATCTGGTATCGAACCGAAGTTAGAGCACTATGCCTGCATGGTGGATCTCCTTTCCCGTGCTGGAAATCTATCAAAGGCGTACAAGTTCATCGAGTCCATGCCTATTGAACCAGATGCTACAATTTGGGGTACATTGCTTTCGGGATGTAGGATCCATCATGATGTGAAGCTAGCAGAAAAAGTGGCAGAACATCTTTTTGAGCTAGAGCCAGACAACACAAGGTATTACGTTGATCTAGCGAATGTCTATGCAGAGGCAGAAAAGTGGGAAGAAGTGAAGAAGTTGCAAGAAAAGATAGGAAAAAGAAGATTCAAACAGAATTCAGGCTGTAGTTGGATAGAAGTCGGAGGAAAGTTTAATATCTTTGTTGCTGGGAACACTAAACACCCTCAAGCAAAAAGGATAGACGCGTTGCTGAGAAAATTGAGTTTGCAAATGGAGAATGGAGATTACTCTACTAAATTGAGGTATGCATTGATTAATGAAGATGATATGGAGAAGGGAGTGATTCAGTGTGGACACAGTGAAAAGTTAGCAATGGCTTTTGGTATATTAAATTTGCCGCCTGGGAGAACCGTTAGGGTCACGAAGAATCGAAGAGTATGCGGGGATTGTCACGAGATGGGGAAGTTCCTGTCCAGGACAACCAATAGGGAAATTTTATTGAGAGATTCAAACCGGTTTCACTGTTTCAAGGATGGTTTATGTTCTTGCCGAGGTTTCTGGTAAATCATTAGAAAAATTCAAAAGTGAACATATTTTCCAATCACATTTCTGCTACAAATTAGGCTTTCAAATATGCGAACCAATCATATGAGCCATTCGATCTCAATTCATTGGTAGAGATGTGTTGATTGTAACAACATTGGATTTTGATGAATCCAGAGAATCTGGATCCAATATCAGTTTGCTTTTAGATTCCAATTTTTTTGTTTCTGACAATGCTTGCCACTCAGTCATAATGAGAATGGTCATAGAAATGATATTTAAATTTTAAATTAGGGAAGTTAGTGCTGCATACAGAATTGTTCAAGTACGAGGATAGTTGCATTGTATGTGGGAGTACTATGTACTGAAATCTGACATGTTTTGAGTTATCCTAGGTATTCTAGATTCAAATGATTCTCCATTAGCATCTGATCCACAGCCTGAATACTGAAAACATTACATATTTACATTGCTTTTTTATGAATAATAAAAAGGAATATTAATTATGTACTGTGGTGTAGGTTCGAGATGTTACCATAGCTTATTCCCTCATGGTAACATCTATGGTATCTTGCTATAATTATGTATTATGCTTGCAATATATAACTGTCATGCATAAAAGCAAATATGGAAATTGCATAAGTTATTTCACATTATAGGAAGGAGTTAGGTTATTTGAACACCTAGGCACTATATTTGACACCGTATACCAATTGTATAATGTTATCTCTATCTCT